GGTTTGGAAATACCGCCGAGGACAGACCGTTCCACAACGCGGCTGTGCGGGGCAGGAAGTTCCGCGAAAACCGCACGGTTGTGGAATGCCATCTGCCATCGAGATGGTGAGGATGGTTGGATGGATAGTTATGTAGGATGTCAGCAATCGCAGTGTATTTTGAATATTTTTTTTTCAATAAAAAGCCCTACAATTACGACACGCTTTAGGGTATATCTTTTTATGCTATTCAACTTGAGAGTAAATAATTTGGAAAAAACCGTCATGCGGGTAAGGAACAAAAATTACAAGCTGACATCAAAGGACCAAGGTTGCCATGGTAATGATAATTGTTATCCAATGTCAAAGGTCTTTGTTGTTATTTGTGCATTTGAATTTTGAAATTCGGAATTAAAATTTTCACAAACATGAACAATATGATAAAGCTTTTTTATAATTTCACGCGGTTGAAACCGCATGGAAACAGCTCGTGGGTAAATAAGACAGATAGATAATTTATAAGAATGTAAGGTAGAAGTCGATGATATCCAAAAATTAAGATTTCCTTCAAAAATTAACTTAACTTACTAAATATTCGTAACCGCTTTAGTACTTTTACATCAACTTCTAGTGGCTGTAAGTCGATTTATGATATCCAAGAGTTATAATTTCTTTACATACTAGCTACATATTCAACAATATCTAGCGTCAACTTCTGGCTTACCTCTATACAGGTCCTCAAATTAATAATCTTGGGCAATAGAGAGTTCTGTAAGGTCTTGACAAACTGCCTTGCGTTGTGTCTCTCCAGGTCCACGTTACATTCAGTTATTGTGCATCTGGAAGTAAAAACGCAAAAATGGATCAATCAGAAGACCTATTGATTCAAACGAGAGGATAAACGAGAACGAACAGAACGCGAAAAGAACAACAGACAGTAACACCTGGAAAGATGGATGGATCAAAAAGTATGGATAATTGAATTTCCCCTAACCTGCCGAGGTTCAATGTCTTAGGCACTGCTTTAGTGTCGGTGAAGGGGTCGCTGTTGTTGGAGGGCGAGGGCCGGCTGGCGCGCGTCGGCAGGAACACGTTGTCGGCGTCAGAGTCCGCCTCGCCCTCGTCTGAACTTATATTCTCCGGTCCAGATGTATCTATACGTAAAGACATTGCTTTTTATTTCATATAGTTTTTCCGACTATATCCGCGTGGAATAAAAATAATACAATAACAAGTAGCATACGTGTTCTTTCAGACTGTCCTCTATATTAAGCCAAATCTCATCAAGATTCGTTCAGACATTTAGGCTATAAACTCAAACAATGCATTAATCCAATATTTTGCATTTATAATATTAAAAAGAAGTAAGGTTTTAATTTTATCTATCAGTATTTTTATTGGTCGTCAGCTATATTAGCATTCTTATACAATTTCATATAATTCATCTATAGAAAGTAAAGATTTTTCAAAAAAAATCATGTCACCTGAAGAATCATGTTGCGTTTCTTCATTACTTTGCAATACTGCAACAACATCCCTGAAACAGAAAATGTAAAATAATTAATTTGATCTCACGCGTTGATACGTCTATGTCTAGATTTAAAATCACTCATTCACTTACCGATAAGGGCTAGGCAGTCTAGCTAAAGTCTGATAAGTCAATGGCCCAGTGTAGTCTGCATCTTGCAGTTTGGGCCATTGCTCCAATAACAGCGTCGCCACATCTGATGTTATGTACTCGTTGGCGCCAGAGCACAGCTTCTCGAGAGCATCTAGCAATGAGACCACGCATTCTACCGCAGCCGCCACTACTTCTGGATTACCACTGCGACCACAGTCTTCTATCCCATCCATTATTCTGAAAAAGAATATTAATATATTATAAATGCAAAACTTTAGATGAATGGATGGATGTTTGTAGCAAAAATGGCGGAACAGATCACGATGTTGGCATAAATGAAGAGGATAGTCTGGACGAAAACATAGGCTACTATTCTTGTTTTTTTTTTAATTCTACAGGGACGGAGTCGCGGAGAAAAGCTAGTAAAAATCAACATGCCGTGTCAGTTACCAGTTACCAAATATAACCACAGTTTAGTATACTTAGGGAAGCCAAATTGCCTAAAAAGAGGTTAGTAAACGACCAAGTAACATATTTAATCACTAGTAAAGGGGTTTAAGCACTTTACTTGTAATCTACTGGTCATGGGTACAAATCCCGCCATGTAGCAATGTGGTTTGGAATTGAATATGTTCATAATTTAACCGATGTTCTTACGGTGAAGGAAAACATCGTGGATACAATCCGTAGTAGGCCAGCGTGGTTGACTATACCTAGTCACCCTAACTTAAGAGTCTCCTAGCCCTAGCCTACCTAAAGCTGGTGATGATGATGAAACTTACAATCGGACAATAGCCATATCATCGCTATATCGTTCTGGATGATCAGGTTTCCTCATGAGTACGAGGTGTGCGAGTCGTTTGGGGTTTTGCAGCAGTTCCCTCGCGCTGCGGAGCGGCTCCACGCGGTGCGGTACCGGCGGGTACAGCAGCATGCGATGGTACAGTGCCTCCAGTACCGGACGTAACGTACTAATAGATCCCACTAAACGAACTAATTGGTTTGCTATGCTGTAATCAAAGACGTTTAAGAAATGTATAGACTAGACATAGGGAACATTTTTTTTCACCGGTAACTTCTTTGAATGGTACTATGTCAGTTGTCAAGTTTATTGGTACCACATGTCCTTGAATTGACATGTTATAAAATATTTTACAAAATTACTAAAACCTCCATCTATTACACTAATGTTATAAAGAGGAAAGATTTGTATTTTTGTACGTATTGAAATAACCATTATAAAACTTCGTAATCAGTAAGTAAAATAGGCTTTTTCTTGTTATTTTTTAATTAAACGCGAGCGAAAACGCGAGCAACAGCTAGTTTGTTATGAAATAAACTAAACAGTGTGTCAAAATAACACATAAGCACTCGAATATTATTTTAATTACACCTTTTGCCAATTAATTTCAATACAACGAAGACATCTGATTTTGAGGACCTATTAATAGATAGCGCTGGTGAATCATGTGAAAAATGTCTAAGTGAAGTGTCAATAATGCTTCCTCTATATATATTTGTAATCTCTGGCTGTAATAAACTTGGTTATTAGAAGACAAAGAATAAATATATTAATTTAAAAGATGTTATAAATGTATACCTGTATATAGCTTTAGCTTGCTTGCTGTTGAAGCTGGGCGCGCAGACCAAGGCGCCGGAACCTCTTCCTGAATCATCAACTAAGTGGCCATCATGCTCCCTAACATGATTAAAATATTAAATTAGTTTAAAGTAAAAAAACTACCATGTTTAAAAGTAATTAATAAAAAGAAAACAATCTTAACAACACTACAACAAAATTAGGAATTAAAAAAAAAAAAACAAAGTAAATAAATAAGAAATAATTACTGTAAAAGACTTTTTTTTCGAATTGAAATAGCAATTAATTGTTGATATTAAATTTACAGAAATCGTAGTCTTACCGAGCTTTTATATTCTTATCGACTCTGGGCGTTCCGAGGAATGAGATGAGAGAGGGGCAGAACTTCTGCCAGAGGAAGGCGGTGAAGTGCGAGTTGCCGCTGACGCGCTCCGACAGGCAGGACATCAGGGTCAGCAGACAGTCCAGGAAGAACAGCGCTAATGGATTCTGCTTTGGGATCCTAGAAGAAATTTAATAAAACAAATAATTTCGGACCTCCGGGACCATCGGAACTATATGTGAGTTAAGTCTTCAATTCGTTTTTATAATGTCACACGTAAATTTAAATAGTGTGACTAGAAGAAACAATATGAGTACTTCTGTTTCTACTATCGAATTCACGTATTTCACTCTAGGGCAGTAACTGGATGCAAATTGTGCAAACTCCAAAAACTTACATTTGTGTCTCCGACAGACGACTGCATAGATATTGTATGACAGGAATCACTTCACTATAGCAGCCTACTGCCACGATATGATTCCGGCCAACTGGAGAACCTTCGGAGAGCAACTCTTGGCATTCTTCATCTGTTCACATAAAGTAACAAAACTTTTGAGGCTGTTTATGAATCTGTATCTGCATTTTACACACTAATTTGGTGTGACAATATACCAGTTTTTTTAATATACGACTAGCTGTTGCTCGCGACTTCGTCCGCGTGGAACTTTAAAAATGTTACTCAACGTTAACATAGCTTTTTAACAGTGAAAGAATTTTCTAAATTGGACCTTTGGTTTTTGAGTTATTACAATACATACAGAAATCTATTTTCTCTTTTTAATAGGTAAATAGTATAGAAAACAGAACAGACGAATACAAAGTTCCATACAATATTCACAGCCTTAACATGTAAAAAACAGGAGAGGATATAAAAAAGTAAAAAGATAGTTTTACCAAGTTGCATGCAATACGCGCGCAGGGCCTGTGCGGCGGCCGCTCGAGCCGCGGCGGCGACCTGCGGCGCAGCGCCGGCCGCCTCCCCGCAGCGGCCGCACGCCCACACGCACAGCCGCCCGTTCAGAGTGCGCCGCGGGGACAGTGCCAACGAAAGATACATACGAAATATCTGCACCTACACACAAACAAAAACAAACTGCTCTATGGTATTCTGCAGTTGCAGCAGTCTTAGAAGACCATGAAATAAATGTTGCACTTACCTGAGTATCTGGTGAGTGGTACATAACCGAAGATGTAGCGCACAGAAGCTGCGAGGGCATCCATAGTGAATCGTCTTCGGGTTCGATACCTCGGTGAAAACGATCGTCGCGAAGTATTTTCTGAAAACAAAATCACTAAGTATTCACCTAGTTATTATAATTACTATATTATATTTTTACTTCTTATTCTACCTAGTTATATAAAAAGCTACAAAAGAAAGCACATTAAGTGAAAACAATGCGTCACGACTACGAATAAAGTCGATGTGACGCAGTAGAAAATTCCAGAAAAAAACATGGAATGACGTCATACAGTTTGACTTGTGTAGAGTACAAGAGTACAACATAGCAATTTTAACTAAAAGTTCGCATTGAAAAGACGTTAATGAATAGATTTTTTATTAACCATTAAGTTTTATGTCTTCTTAACATTAAATTACATGCAACGAATTGCTAATTATGGGAATGTTTCCTCGTATAAAGTGAGCTGTAGTTACATGAAAGCCCTGGAGCGCGTAGGCGACGAGGCGGGGGCGTTTGGTCTCGAGCGCCAGCCGCAGGGGCAGGAGGCAGACGCGCCGCACCTCGTGCGACGCCCTCCGCCCGCTGCTTTCTTGGATACAAAGTACTTCTAACAAACAAACATACAAAACAAACTATAAATAATGTATTAATAGAAAAATTCAACACAATGATTATCCACACGAAAAAACTGCCGACCCTATGATACTACGACAGGACGTAATTGTCTATATTTATAGTTGTTTACGTCCAACGGTATATAAAAAAGTCTTGGTATTTACAAAACATTTCCACAAATGTAAGGTATATTTGCTTCGCGATTACCAAAGTGTTCGGTTAGTAAAAAAAAACAGCGCACAGTTTCGAATCTTAGATAATCTATAAAGTTAAAGTAAGGCTAATACAAAGCTAAAACAATACAAATAGAATAGTTAGGAGAGTTCCATAGTAAGAGGTTACCCCTAAACAACATCGATAATGTCAAGGTGACGCCGCGAAACAATGCAGATGTGCGTTGCAGTTTGCATTGCACATTTTTAAACAAAACTAATGCTTATATACAGTTCACTTTAGATCGACTATTGTTATCCGTTTCATCGACTTTTACAGTTAAACTTCGATATAAGTGCAAAATAAATATTAAAATTTTTAAGCGTAGGTGCAGCGGTAGGTAGCGGTACAAAATTGCAAAGATACATGAATATTTTTGTCTTCGGACATTTTTTTACCAAAACATTTATTTGTTAAGTTGAGAAATAATAACGTACCTACTGTTTGAGTCAGTCCCTGTATCGCGAACGGTATTGTAGCCCAGGAGAGTAAGCACTTTAACGATCAATAACTACGATTGTCAGTTACTTCAATGACGTCACGTTGCACACACCAACCACAGAAATTAAAATTTCGGAAAAATTGCAATGTTGAACGATAACATATTAAGACAAATAACTGAATTAGTTAGTAACATTGCAAAAAAACAATTGAAAGTATTGCAATTTCTGTGGTGTGGCAGTAAGAATATAATCGATTCATAGAACTCTTTACCGATTATTTGGTTTTTCAGAACAAAATTAAATGAACGCATACACAAAGTTTACAGTGTTATCATTAAATGTATGTTGTGTAGGCGTAAATAATTATTCGTTCAAAAATTTTCCATTGCCTTCATTCATCATTGTCTATTGTATTAATAAGCTTTTATTATACATCTATATTCTATCAATACATACCCAGTGCTTCCTGACATGATTTCTTGAGTGCTATTAACTTTGGTCCAGTAGCTTCTTTGAATATCTCTTGTAACAGTTCCTCCATATCAATCGTACAAACAAAACATATTGAACGGCGCGTTAGTTTAACGGAAAGTAATTTGTGCAATAATTAAAGAGGGTGAAACCTAAAAGTGATTTTTTAACAGTAAATAGGAAACTTCGTCGGATATACCAATCGACGCTTCTATGCGAGTGGGTGTTTGAAACACTTATCAGTAGCTAGCTTCTACAGTACGCAGTTGTGAGCACTGAGCATGCTCAGTGGGAAAATCAATACTCGTATTCCATACTAGTTGTCTACGAGATTTCTTTAATATCAACAGGTAGTTAATACACAATAATGCCGAAATTATGTAGTTTACTAAAACAACTTCGTTACTGGTATACAAATTTAAAAAAATTGCCCTATAAAATATATAAGCTATAAATTATTTTTATAACTAAATGAAACTAACTAAAGCTTACTAAATATTGAATAATGGTAATTACTAGCACATCAAAATCATCTTATCCACTTGAACTGTACATAAATTGTTTTCGATACCACATTATCGCTAAGAAATTTTTTGCATCGTATTATGAATCTGATTTAATTTCATTGCCATTTTATTAGATGTTTTCTGTTAATTTTTGACATTTTTACTTCATCAAATTCATTAAAATGTTGATAAAATGAAGTTTGGAATTCGTTCATTACTTATTCCACAGGCGTTGAATTTTAATATTTTAATGTCATTTGTAAATCGATTTTACTGTGTAAATAAACGGTTCTTCTATTAAATTGTTGTGCTAAATCTTAACCTTTTTACGAGTAATGGTCCCTTTATAGAAAAAGATGATTAAAAAAACTTTTTAGCAATTAATAATTAAAACTTGGATTAAAACAATAATGCAAATAAAATCGATGTTTAATAAATCGATATTGCGATCTACTAACGTCGCTTTATAGTCTTTGGTCATTCGACTTTTCGACTGACAGAAACCATCAACCATTTGTCATCCTTTTAACCATAATAGAAAAATGGTTTCTTGGAGTGGTTTAGGTCGATCTTTTGGCATCAATTTATTTAGAAACAAGTCAAACACATTTAAAGGACAAAATGTGAATTTTTCTACCAGCAAAATATTTAACGGTGACCATGGCCATAAGGTTATGGCACTACAACCATCAAGGTATGTCATTTCAGACCTAGACGCAATGATTACCTAACCAATTTTTACTAAAGAAATATTATTTTGCTTTTTAATTTGGTAACGTACCTGTTTCTTTCGACTTTAAAATACTTTTACAGGTGGCAATGGCACAAATTCAAGGACATGTTCCATTACTATACGATGATCGGCTTAATTCCCGTGACTGCCATAATTTTTTACACTAATGTTTTTATTGGCCCGGCCCAACTGGAACCTATTCCTAAGGATTACACTCCAAAATATTGGGAGTATCATCGTCACCCAATTACGAGGTTTATTGCTCGCTATATCCACACTGATCCACAGCAGGTAATTGTTAATAAGATATTACTTCTTTTGTAGTAAATCAGGTGGAGTATGTTTTAAAACTCTTCCATCAAATGTTTCGTCTATAATCTTATTTCCTGTCTATTTGAAAATAGTCTTTTAACTATTCAGTTCTTAAAGCCTGTGTTAAAAATGCTTTAAAAGGAGATATGGAGTATGAGAGGGCAAAAGGTAAAGTGGCTTATTTACTCAGCACCTCACCCATTTATAGGGAACCCACTATTGCTACAATTACAGGAACAATATGTTTTAACCTGTTCAGTAAATATTGTTATTACAAAAAAAAACCATAAAGACAAATTGAGTACCTCCTTCTTCTGGGAAGTCAGTCAAAAACACATACTCTTAACTAGTTTAGATTTCTATTCCAAGATTCTTTAATTAAAAATGCTTATTTATCAAAACAATGCACACAATTTACAGGAGTATGAAAAATTCATGCACTTCATTGATGAAGAGCATCAAAAGATGAAACTCCGTGCTTTGGAAAAGGAAATAATTAAGAAAATGTCTGAACGTCAGGATTATCAAGCGTACTATTACAGACCGATGGTCAACAAATACTTACGTATAAACAAACAAGTTGGTGATGAAATCTACAACCGTCTTGGTGACGACGTTAAAGATTAAGACTAGGAGCTTGAACCAGGTGTAGATGTATTTAGTGATCAAGTGTATCCTTGCAATGTGCTCTTGTAGATAAATAAAAGTTTTATTGTTTAATTATATTTATTCCGAATACCTTAGTTCGTGTTTGTTGTGAATATAAAACCGAAAATAAATGATTATGTTTAACTTTTTATCATTTTGACAATTTGTTAAAAAAGTAATTAGCAAGTGTTCACTGAGTTCTAGAGGCATATGAAGGGGAAATGTCCTCTTTATATGCAACTCCTTCGTCAATAAAGGGTAGGCAACGCATCTGCAATGGCGGATGTTTATGGGCAGCGGTTGATTTCCATTTCGGTGGATTCAGGCGGCCGCTTGCTCGTTTGCCACCTTATATTATATAAAAAAAGACAATTTGCCAGCAGTTTTCTAAGTCACATTTTATAAATATTCATAAATGGTAATAGCAGTTATATAATTATTCTAATAAGCATCCAATTACCCAATTTGAATAGTTGTTTCTATCAAAAGAGAGAGAGTTGTTTCTAGAAAGAGAGTTTGTTTTATTTACTATATTCAATTTGTTTAATATTTCGTCTATCATGTCGATAGTTAGTTTTATTTTTCAAGGCTTTTAGTTTTTTTTTGTTACTTGCAGATCGAATTCAGTTCAGTAGACCAATAAATTTATCAAAAAAAAGCATTTTTTAAAAGATTATGTTTAAAAGAAAACACAGGTTTATGGTAACATTGTTATTTAATTTACAGGAAATACTAACGATTGACAATAATTTCCGTTTGGAAATCTTACAAAATGTCAACACTTATCTAGTAGTAATGCAAATTGATATGACTCTACATTCCGACCTTTTTCAATAATGCCACTAGATTTCTAAATGCATACCGAATAATGGTTTAGTCAGAGGTTCCCAAACTTTTTTCTCAACCCAATATAAAATTATAATGGATCCGCTGAACCCATTACTAAATAAAACATTCCTTAAATTTGTAACGCCTAAATTGTATCCATTGTGTCCCTTTGCAGGGTCACTGTTGGACCCCATGGGTTCCATCTGGACCATGTTGGGAATCATAGGTTTTCTATTAAATGGGATATATTATTTAGATGTATGAACAGCTAACTTAAATGATTTATTTGAAATATTTGAACAGTAGCATGCACTAATACTTAAATTAATTTGTGTGAAAGAAATCTATTATTTAATATAAAACGTTTTATCTCAACTGCTTCCTTATTAGTTTAATCATTCTCTTGATAAGTAAACTTATAAAATAAAATTAATAACTAAAATTTAATTTAATATAAAATATTATAAGAATTTTATTTTTTATCCAGTCAATTTTTAAATTCTGGCAGCTTTAATCAAGTATCCAGAAGAATAAATGATATATAAGGAATACAGAAATTAATATTCTTAACAATATTACATAAGTAAATTACATAAAGATATGACTTCAATATCCCGTTCATTCAGTCTTCGCAGTTTGTGTTTCCAACTATGTCAACTATTCCTATTTAAGATTGCTTTTCATACTAACTTTGTATTTAAAACTATGTACAACGCTCTAAATAGATAATTCGAAGAAGTAAATATGGCAAACCAGCTAAATTCATAACAAAAAAATCATATTTTAATTAAATTGACTAATGTTCTGTTTACAATTTAAAAAGAATCAATAACACTGCTAACACAATCCTTTGTAATTTATGGCCTTTGGAAAAGTCTTAGTAGTCTAGTTCATGACTAATAACGATTTCAAATCTAAAACCTAAAGACGGCTACGATTTTCTACTGTAAATGTTAAAACCACATCTTCATTTCGCCTTCTCCTTTTCAGCTTGTGCCGCTAACTTAGCTTCTTTCTTTGCCTTCTTCTTCTCTTCCTTTGCTAATAGTTTAGCTTGTCTTTCTTCTTCCTTAGCTAGAAGCTTCGCTTGTCTTTCTTCTTCTTTAGCTTGATGTTTAGCTTCTTTCTTCGCTTCCTTCTCAGCTTTAAGCCGTAATTTTTCCTCTTTCTTTCTCTCTGCTACTTCATTCTTCTTGTTATCGCTGCTTTCGTCTTTCTTGCTTTTGTCTCCTGGTTTCGGATTCTCTTCTTCTTTCTTTTTCTTTTCTTCCTTTTTTGGTTTAACTTTGGGGTTTTCTTTTTTCTTATCAGTCTCTTTGCTTTGGTCTCTAGATCTAGGGGTGTCGTCTTTAGTCGAAGTCTTAAAAGGTCGGAAGAAGTGTTGGTTGTCTTTCTGCGGAGAGGTTTCTAATTGCGTTACTATTTTCTGGGCACATCTGCAATTGAAACGAGAATGATATTAATTACTCTTATCCATGCTAATGTTTTTACTAAGCCCAAATTTATCTATAGTATTAAAACATCATTTTTAACATTTACATACATTTTTAAAATACCATGCATATTTATATTGGCATCTTTGGGACGTATATAGGCGGGAGTTCAGTTAGTATTATCGATATAAATCTAAAACTACGATTTTAAAACGGAATTTTTATTAAACAAAATCAATATACATTCTATTGTAAAGTATCGTATTTACATCAGTTCACTAGAGCAAACTAAATACGTACATTAACTTGACTCTCGCTCCAGTGAAAGACTGCGAAAAACGTGATACCTTCAAGTTTCTCGCATCAAATATTCATTAACTTCTGTTACTTCTAGCCTCAGGAGAAATGTGAGAGTTTATAGTGCCAGAAGATGACTTGAGTCGGTAATTGCTCGTAAAAGTTAGGCGATCGATTAACCTTATTACCCGTTTTATAAAAGATCTAGTGATCAAGTTTGTGTTAGTCTTCTGGATGGGAAACAATCTCAGTGTAATTTCAACAGTACATCTATAAATATTTGGACTCTACGTAGATTCAGGATTGAAATCTAGGTGAATGAAATGCAAATATCAAACCTTATTCTAGTAGAGGCGCACGAGGCAACGGCGGTCTCGCGTCGTCCCTCACGAA